GATTTCAGTACGTATGGAGGGTTGAAGATGGAGCACCCTGTCAGCTTCTGGCCGCCCATTCGCGGCGATCACGCGTCTGTTCTATATGATAGCGAGGGGGCGGTGGTTCAGTGGAGTGAGTTTGACGTCGCTGGATTGTATCAGGCGGGGGACGGGTCGTGTATACCTCGTGCCGTGCGGGAGCTGTCTCGGGCGGCGTGCTCCTGGGTTTTCTTCGGCGAGAAGGGGGGGCAAACGTCCGTTGCGCAGGGTGTCGTGTGGCCGTCGCTCCCGCAGACCAGCCGGGCCGCGGAACAGTTGCAGCTCGCGCTGCTGCTCATTTTTGCGCCAGGCCTTGCGACGACGTGTTACAGTGACTGTATGCATGCGGTGAAACTCCATAGCAAGTCCCCACTGGATCAGATGGCTTCTAAACGGCGCTCTGGGGGATTAAGGAGAGGTGCACTTCCCCACGTGTGCCGTCAAACGTATGACCCAGCCATGCGCGCGCCTGCGCGCCGCATGCTGGAGGATATAGATATGCTGCCGCAGCCCGGCCGTAGGATCGGACAGGCTACTTGGGGGGCGGACCTTGAGGCTGAGAAGGCCATCGAGATCCACCCCGGGCCATCGGAGGCCGAGTACAGACAGCTCCAGTATGCGGTCAGTCAGATTGAGTATGTTGCTAGTGTGGCCGCTGCCGTGCTGCCGTGCCCGCTCTGTGGGGTCACCGCTGCGCGCGCTGTCTTGACTTCTATTGAGGTGACCTCCACGACAGACCTGGGCTGTGGAGGTTTCCCAGGGCGCGTGGCTGAGTTGCTCGTGTCTGCGCCCGAGAACGGACGCAAGCTAGCGAGCGCGCAAGGTGGCGACGAGCAGGCCCCGTTGTTCTTCTGTCTTGCGTGCGGAGCATAACTACTCGCAGCGCAAGACTCGACAACTGCCTGCACTTTGCAAGTCAGGCAGTGTGGGTAGCGGGTTGCAGGTGCTGTCCCGTTTGAGGCGCGGCCTGCGCCCGCTGCGCAATGTCTCCGTGCCGCGCGCAGAACCTGAAGAACGGGTTGAGCGCAAGGGGGCAACTATTGTTCTTGAGGTTGCTCGGCGGAGTGCCCTGAGGGCCTCTGCCGCGCCGCTGCCATGTTTGGAGGCCACCCGTGCCCGCGTTGCGGCGCGGGAGGCTGCGAGCAGGTCGCGGTGATCTGTCGAACTGTGGAACTGGTCGAGCAACAGTGCCCCCCCAAAAAAAACACACACACACACACACACCCTTGGTTGAGTATTCGTTTTGGATAGAGCACGGTGGTCGCGTCCTTCAGCTTATCCCGCCTCCCGTCTCCCGCATCCCTCTTGTCTGCTCTTGCCTTGTGCTGACCTCGCCATCCCTGGGGGGGGGGGGGGGGGGGGGGCGCGGGGGCGATCTGCGAAACTGTCGCCACTTTCGAGGGCTGCTGGTGGGTCCTGCGGAGTGAGTCACCGCGGTGGCCTGAGCGAGACCTCGCCGTCCCTGGGGAGGCTGCGATCTGCGACGCTGTCGCCACTTTCGAGGGCTGCTGGTGGGTCCTGCGGACTGAGGCCCCGCGGGGGCCTGAGCGAGACCTCGCCGTCCCTGGGGGGCTGCGATCTGCGGCGCTGTCGCCACTTTCGAGGGTTGCTGGTGGGCCCTGCGGAGCGAGGCACCGCGAGGACCTGAGCGAGACCTCGCCGTCCCTGGGGGCTGCGATCTGCGACGCTGTCGCCCCTTTCGAGGGCTGCTGGTGGGTCTTGCGGAGTGAGACACCGCGGGGGCCTGAGCGAGACCTCGCCGTCCCTGGGGGGCTGCGATCTGCGGCGCTGTCGCCACTTTCGAGGCCTGCTGGTAGGTCCAGCGGGGTGAGGCACCGCGGGGGCCTGATCGAGACATCGCCGTCCCTGCTGGGGGGGGGGCGATCTGCGGCGCTGTCGCCACTTTCGAGGGCTGCTGGTGGGTCCTGCGGAGTGGGGCACCGCGGGGGCCTGAGCGAGACCTCGCCATCCCTGGGGGGGCTGCGATCCGCGACGTTGTCGCCACTTTCGAGGGTTGCTGGTGGGTCCAGCGGAGTGGGGCACCACGGGAACATGAGCGAGCCCTCGCCCTTGCCTGGGGGGAGCTGCGATCTGTGACACACTGCTTTCGAGGGCTGCTGGTGGGTCCAGCGGGGTGAGGCGCCACGGGGACCTGAGCGAGGCCTCGCCGTCCCTTTCGCGGGCTGCTGGTGGGCCCAGCGGAGTGAGGGAGGCACCGCGGGGGCCCGAGCGAGACCTCGCCGTCCTTGGAGGGGGGGGGGGGGGGGGTGGGGGGGGGGGGGGGGATTCTGCGACATTGTCGCCGCTTTCGAGGGCAGCTGGTGGGTCCTGCGGACTGAGGCCCCGCGGGGGCCTGAGCGAGGCCTCGCCGTCCCTGGGTGGCTGCGATCTGCGACCCTGTCGCCACTTCCGAGGGCTGCTGGTGGGTCCAGCGGGGTGAGACACCGCAGGGGCCTGAGCGAGACCTCGCCATCCCTGGGGGGAGCTGCGATCTGCGACGCTGTCGCCACTTTCGAGGGCTGCTGGCGGGTCCTGCGGAGTGAGGCACCGTGGGGACCTGAACGAGGCCTTGCCGTCCCTGGGGGGCTGCGATCTGCGACACCGTCGCCACTTTCGAGGGTTGCTGGTGGGTCCAGCAGGCTGTCTGAGGCAACTTCTCCTTCTCCCCCTCCTTCTCCTCTACCTCCTCCTCTTCCTCCTCCTCTTCATCCCCCCTCTTCCGCCTGCTTTCCCTCCGCTGTTCCTCTGTTCCTCCTCCTCCTTCTCTTCCCCCTCTCCTCCTCCTTGCTCCTCCTCCTCCTCCTCCTCCTCCTCCTCTTCCCGCTTATCCTTCTCCTTCCCCTCCTCCTCCTCCTTCTCCTCCTCCTCCTCCTGCTCCTCCTCCTCCTCCTCCTCCTCCTCTTCCTTCCCCTCCTCCTGCTCATCCTTCTCTGTTCCTGC